GGTGACCCCAGAGCTTTGATTTTTGTCTCTCTTTCAAGAGGGTGGGGGCTGCTGGAGCACAGCTTCTCACCCCCACAGCCACGCCAGCTCACGGTGGGTAGGTCATTAAAAACATCTCAAGCAGCAACTTTTGTTCACAAAAATATATATATAGAGAGAAAATAAGTAAATTTTAAACTGAGGGCCCAAGGGACTCATCACCTGCTCAGCCCACAGGACCAGCACGGAGGCCTCATTCCATAGCCCCATTCCCAGCCTCCTGAAGCCCCTGCAGCCACCCCTGCCCTCAGCCTGTCCCCTCCACCCAGATCGTGTTTGCCACCATGGCCACCACGGCCACAGGCACGGTCCCTTGCCACCACAGGGCTGGAGAAGAGTGGGCACAGGGGGGACTGACACCCCGGGGACCCTGTGCTGGAGGTGTGACAGTGACCAACAGCCGGCGGACACGCACAAGCACCTGCAACACCTGGAGAGCCAAGCGAACAACAGGACGGAGACGCAGGCTGGAGACCCCAGCAAAGCCACGGGGAAGGGGTGTGGGGATGGCCAAGGGGCTCTGGCCATCCTGTCCTCTCCCAGCCATCAGAGGTGGGTGGTACCACAGTGGCGATGCCACCACTCCTTGCGATTCATAAGGTTTGGGTCATTCGTTGCAGGGCTGGGGTCTCGGGTCCCTCTACCAGCAAAGCCCCGTCCCCACCACACAAACCTGGCCTGCTCACCACAGAGAACATGGAGGAAAAGGCAAAAAAAAAGGAGGAGAGGGATGTTCCTGGGGGAAGATGGAGCTGCGGGAAGCAAGGAGCGGTGGGGCCGGCAGCTGGGTGGGATGATGGGGATGGGGCACGAGGGAGCACTGGGGTGGAGGGGACAGAGGGACGTGGCACGTGGAGCCCAGGAGCTGCCAGCCAGACTGTGTTTGCTTTTCTTGTCTCAGTCCCTGGGGACACCTGGGGGGAGGTGGCAAACCCTGTGTTTTTCAAGCACGTGTCTCCAAAACAAAACTGCAGCACTTTGTCCTGGTCTAGTACATGCCAAGCTGATGGTTTGGAAGAGTCTTATCCAAGACCCTGTTTTCTGCTGCCACTTTAAAGGTAAATGTGCGTTTAAGACATTCAAAGAGATTCAATATTTTCTCCTGGATGCCAAGGTCTGGCTTCCAGCCTCCCCTTCCCCCCTCCAGGGTACAAGCATCCCTCACCAAAAAAGAAAAGAAAAAAAGAAAAGAAAAGCTTATTTTCACCAACTTCACACACCACAAGCCCATTTTAGATTATATTTCACTTGGTGGTAACCTCTGCCTTCACCAAACATTCCTTTTCCCACAACATTTAGAGCTGCCACCAAGCCAGCTTCCCCAGAGCTGCTCCTTCAGGAGCCACCACAACCCCCCCAAACCCTCGCTTTGCATCGAAAAGCCTGAAGGAAATGAACGAAGGTGGACCCCAAAGAACAACCTGGCAAACAACAAGGTCCCAGGAATCTTTTTCAGAGGGTAGGAAAGGTGAAAGAACAGCAGTGCTGTGTGTTTTTACCGACGGTGGGAGTGGTGGCTGCGCTCAGGGAGTTGGTGGAAGATATGGAAGATGTACTTTCAGCCCGGGCTAAAGGTGCTATCGGAGGAGGGCTGGATGAGTGAATAGGAGGGCTAAAAGGCCTGGACTGGAGAAAAAAAAACAACAAACATAAAACAGCAGAAGGTTAAAGAAAATATGCATAGAGGCATCTGCATCAAACATTTTGCGTGAAGGCGTCGCCCTCCGCGCCCCCAGGATCAGTGCAAATCCAGACAGTTCTTTTGGGGCCAACAGCGTTTTAGCTTCAGCTTGGGAAAATGGTAAATGATTCCCACCATATCACAGAATCATCACCACAGAGTGGCTTGGGTTGGAAAGGACCTTAAAGGTCATCTAGTCCAACCCCCTTGCCATGATGGGGACACCTCCCAGCAGCCCAGGCTGCTCCAAGCCCCATCCAACCTGCCCTTCAACACTGCCAGGGATGGGGCAGCCACAGCTTCTCTGGGCAGCCTGGGCCAGGCTCTCACCACCCTCACAGCCAAGAATTTCATCCTAAGAAGAAATCAATCTCCCTTCTTCCACTTCAAAGCTCTCCTGTGGGTCTGGGTGTTTGAAGTCCTAGCAGAACACAGGAGCTGTTCACAAGATGTATTTAACCCACCTGGCATGGGGAAGGGAGAGGTGCCCACCACATACAAGTGCCCTCAGGTGCAGCCTGTCAGATCCATAAAGAACCTTTGTGGAAAACTATATATCCCTAACATCAACCCAAACATCCTCTACCACTCACCATAGCCCAGCATGGTGGGGGAGAACCTGGAGGGCTGGTGGGGGGCAACCACCGGGGATTGCAAGACACCTCCCCAGCCAGACTCCTGTCCCGGGATGGCCAGACCTCTCCCATAGGCATGGCTGGACCTTTCCCATAGGCACATTCCCTTTTTGCACTCGTTTTCTACCTTTGCCATAACCTCAAACCACCTTTTGGCCACAACCGGCCTCGCCAGGCAGAGCCAGAGGTACATGTGGCCTTTTTCCCCCATGGAATTTGTCTCGGTGACCAAACAACAGAAAAGAAATGTGGATGTAGTGCTTAGGGATGCCATTTGAGCACTGCTCTGGTAGATTAGGTTATGGTAGGTGGATTTAAGTTATGGCTGAACTTGGTAACCTTCAAGGTCATTTCCAACCAGGATGATTCTAGGATTCTAAGAAACTCCAACCAACCCTGGCACTACCTGCTGCTTTTTTGCTCCTCACGACTTGCTCTGCTCCATCCATTCGTCTCACCAGCTGACAAAGGCATCCCCCCCC